TAGATGCCATCTGACTTTCGAGTATTGGCTCAAATGTAGCAGAAGAGGCCTTCAATTGAATATTCTGCAGCTACATTTTTTAGAACTTCGCAGAGAGGCTGATAACTTCTGGATATCCTCAGGGTCTCTGATCTGCCGTGGGGCCTGTAAATTCTGCAAATTTGCTAGCCTCCTAAGTGATTATAGGATATTCTATTTTATGCTATAATATAATTAAACCTGTCAACTCACAAACTAACGGCATACCTTTTCTCTCGCCGGCTGGTGGTAGGAGTGGGCGAACGCAAGTATGGCGGCCGGAGTGGTGGGTCTCATCTCGGCCAGCGTCGAGGCGGCCGCGGCTGCCGGGCAGACTGCCGTTCGGACGCAAGTACGCGCTGTTGAAGCCCAGCTGGGCGCACTGCAGAACGCGGAATCGGATCTGGCTGCGCTACGCTCTGCTGCGGATCACATGAAGACGCATGCCAACGCCCAACGACAGGCTGAAATCGACGCGACAATCACTCGTCTGGAACGGGAGATTATGCAGTCGCGCGCCGATCTGACGACTCGATTGCAACGTTTGCGAGCGGCTGAGGCCCGCTGGGAGGTCTTCTACACTGGCCTCGGTGAGTTCGACAATTCCCTACAGAATTATGAAGCCAAACTGGCCGAAATCACAAGCCAAACCCCCTCGGCCCATGGCAACCTGAGACCCGAGGAGCCAGGAGCTGCAGAATCCGTGGCTCAAGCCGCCCTGATCGAGGTGAGTAAGTGGTCGCGAGCTGTTCTGGAGACCATGGAGGCCGTGGATGGGGCACGATGTCGTCTTGACCACTTGGAGCTGCTCTTTGACGGCCTCGTCGCCGCCTCGACCGACCATGCATCGGCAGATGGCCCGGCAGATGGTGCCGAGGGGCAGAGGACCTTTTCCAGCCGTGAGGTGACCAAGGCCAAGTCGACCCTAACGGGCCTACGTCAGCGACAAAAGGCACTGGCGGTTGCTTTTGCGTCGCAACGTGAGGCCAACCGCGGTCTTCACACTCGCCTTGAGGGATACCTGAAGCTGGCTGGCAAGCTGGAGCCCTATCTTCGTGAACTGGAGCAGCTGGCAGACGCGATGGCCCGTGATCCGCCTCCGACAGATCTGACAGTCCTGGAGAAGATGAAGAGTCGACACGTGACGCGTCAGACTGAGCGGAAAGTCATCTGGAAGAAGCATTTTGAGCATTTCACTTCCTTCTCCTTACGACTGTCATTGTGGCCCAATCTTCTTGTGAGTCCAGAGGCAGTGGGACATAAACACTCTTTGACAATCTTATATTTCGTTTTTGAGTGGGCTGTCGAGACGACCAGCAAATCAGATATATGAGATGCGTTCGCCCCATCACTTTTATGGTGATGAAGAATGGGCAGTTGAATTTTCCCACAATGATATGAGTTGAGCTGACGTTTCTATTGCTTTCCCTAAATTTGTTCTCATCCAGACACCAGTGGACTGCAGTTTCAACCTCACATAGGTCTTATCAACATCTCCTGCGGGACTCGAACCATGACAGTGCAGCGTATATTTCCTCGACATGCTAACCACTACGCTCAGGGTAGATGTGAATTTCAAGGAGAGTCAGGCATTTTCCCATATCACATTCTATGGTGGGATTGTCGATTAACCAAACTCTTATTTGCTAGAGGCATCGATGAAAACCAACTCAACTTGTTTTACCGAAAATCCCACCACACAATGTGATATGGGAAAAGGCCTAGCCTTCCTTGGTATTCACATATGCCCTGTGACCAAAGGGCACTCGTGGAATTGTGACTTATTAGTTATTGTGTCGAGATTATACGCTTCACTGCCATGGTTCGACTCCCGTTAGGCGAGGTCGAAACTGCAGTCAAGCCTGGATGAAAGCAACTTTTGGGAAAGCAAGGCTATGTGAAATTCAAAGGGAACGCCATGTCTACTCATAGAATTGTGTGGGATTTCAATTGTCAGTTCTTGATCACCTTAAACGAAATAGGTGGGACACAGCTATACTCATGCCCTTCCCTGTTGAGCTGGCTTGATTGATTCCACAAGATAGCAGATTGGAGTCTTGGCCTTCTGACGCTATCTATTTGTTGTTCACAAGTCACTATGAGCAGCACTCAATACACACACACACACACACACACGCACAAAGCTCGCACTTTATCCATCCAACTGCGATAACATAATTGCATCTTTTTATTTTTGTCTTTGATTTTTGCTGTATTCCACAAGTTTGTAAGCTCGAGTCCGGGCCTTCTG